TCTGAGCAATTTCTGAAAGTCTTTTTTTGAAAAATTTCTGAAATTTCTGAAAATAATTTATACCAACAGGCAGTTACTGTTAGTACTTTCTGCTGCTCCGGCTACTTCTGAGTACGTCCGCCTTTCGTAGAGAATAAATACGGGGCACGATTTGATTTCTGATTTAAATTCCGTCCGAAACATTCCTGTTCATCTGATTATTTTTAATTTGTTTTTTCATAGATACTTTATTTTGTCGCTATCATATCGCTAAATTTTATCGCTATATTTTATCGCTATAACATCGCTATATTTTATCGCTATACTTTATTTTATCACTATCATATCGCTATATTTTATCGCTATACTTTATTTTATCGCTATTACTCATGTTTCTTTTGTTATTGCAATATTGCCCCCGTGTCGTCTGTTTTTTATTAGCTTCTCTTATCACCCACGGTTTTACTTATTGTGGTATTTTTCATTTTTTTTTCTCCATGCCACATCACTTACACCTTGTGAACTACGCCTTTTTTTGTCCACACTGTTTAAGGGTACCTGTCAAAACAACGATTTTATCTCCTGTAAAAGTAGCAGTTTTTTTAGGCTGATTCAAGCAACGTGGCCGATCATCTGTGTTCGGATCTTCAAAAATACGGACTAACAAGCGAATCAACTGCGCCTGATCCGGAAAAACGATTAAGATCGCGAAAAATCCGATATTTGACATGGGACGATTGGAAGCGTATTGATGAGGAGGAGCAAAGACTTGGTGCGATGCATGGAAAGAAACGCGAAAAATTGTTGAGTTTCGAAAATTTCCTTCACAACGTATAGAGTATACAAGATATCCTAAAATTTTTAAAATCATGAGAATATTTGGTCAGGACCAGCGATATTTCCTTCCTTCAAAATTACTGTCTTCCCTACAATTTTTCTCCTACTACTTTTTTCCCCCCTATGTATACAATTCCCTTATTTTGGCACCCATCAACATGGATGCTACAAATGGCTTACCCCTGTACAACTTTTTACCCGTCGAGTGCCACCACTGAGGCATTCTTTGTTACAGCTCATAAATTTTGCAGCGAGTAAAAGGACGATGAGAAGAACACGCAGCCTGGATCCTTTTTATCATTCAGGTCAGTGAAATCAGCGAAATTTTATAATCTGTCCGTACTCCATTTCTTTTGTTCATGGATGGGACAGATAGTAATTTCATGGCGTTTATTATGATGGGGAAACTTCTGGTTAGCGTCTAAAATTTAGGAATTATCGTAAGTTCACTGACAAGTTTTGGCACCGGTTTTGCATTTGTAATGAACGAATCGTAGAGGGACTAATTTCTTCAGTTCCATCATCGAACGATGGTTGAGTGCATCGTAAAATGTCTTCTTACACATGACACTTAAGTCCAAACCCTCGATTTCTTGCTGAATGTAATTTCGGTCAGTGTTTACAGCTAAGGGATGAAACATGGAGATAGACTGCATCGTAAAATGTCTTCTTACACATGACACTTAAGTCCAATCCCTCTATTCTACTATTTC